ATGTACAGTATGTCCAGACTGTACAGTTTGTCTAAAACACTGTAATTTATAAATGTTTCAACACAGAGACTTCACTCTGAGCTCAAATTAAAAATAAAACACCACAAAACACATTCTACCATCCATATTTACTCACAGCATGATTAAATTAAAATACATATATTAATATTCAGAAATATTTATACCAACTGGAGTTCATTCAGCCAAATTTCCACCAATAAACAGCCAAACCACAAGAATAAACAAATATATCCTTATATCTGTCAGAACATTAACATTTAACACAGCTTATAAAACCACCAGCAGTGAAAAAATATTTGTTTTTTTACTCACATTTGATGAACATTTGTCCTCAAATATGTCCAAATTAGTGATTCAAAATGGTGACCGGAAGTCTTTTTGTCCAAATAAAGTTACTTCTCCGGCCACAAAAGTCACTTTTCCATGTCTTAAAGCGCTCACAACACTTAATAACAAATATATTTTAATCTTATCAGCAGGTTTAGTCAGCTAACTGGACAAAAAACGGTGGGAAACAACGTTTTCCTGTGAGCGTTAGCTGTCTTCCTTAGCATTGTAACACAGCTGAAACATGGCCGCCTCCACTGTGTTATCATCTTCCATCACTAATAAAGTTCCCACCCCCTTTTATTTATACATTAAATGAAAGGTACAGTGATTGGCTACACAGCTTTAGTGTCAGAATGAAGCTCGGAGCTGATTGGCCGATTTTATTGTCAATCAAAACCAGAAAGGTGGAAACAGGAAGTTGGTCACTTCTGAGATTTTATTGGCCCTAGACAGGTGAAACTTGAAGCCAGTTGGTCAAATGAGGTGTCAATCGAAAGAGGAGGTTCTAGACATTAAGTTTGATGCACCAAACACAGACACAGGCGGAACAGGAAACAGACATTATACTTCAAAATAAAACAAATAGAAAATGGCATGCAGGCGTTCCGCTGAATGTTAACAGGTTAATGAAATAATTTTACATTATTCTTCAGAAAAAAAACACACCATGAGAAAATGGTTGAAATGTTCCTTAACCTGTTTTATACAAATGTGTGTTTAATCAACTATAATCTTACAGTAAAGTGATTGTTTTTATTTTTTATTATTCCATCTAACTAAAGTTGATTGTTGCGTTTATAACTTCACTGAGTTATATTTAGAAATATGCTCACAGAAACATTTGTGTTTTAATCATAGAGAAACATTTCTTAGATTAATTTCAGTTAAATGATTATTGTGCTTCAACTGAACTGTAAACCATTTAAAAGTGTTGAAGTGAACTGGTTGTTCCTACAAACAGGTGCAAAATGTTTTCTGTGGTAAGAAGCGTCTCCAGTCTCAACAGTTTCCACTTTCCTCCTGTTTATCAGAGACACAAGGTCGTGTTTTTAGCTTCTGTTCCTTTAGTTTCTGACTCACAGCAGGCTCCAGTCACCTTTCAGTTTTTACCCTGAGAGGACTTTAACAGCGAGCTGGACCCTGGTCTCTTATGGCAGATCTTCTGAGACGCTGTGGAACAGAAACCCTGAGGAGGACACTGGACCTGAGTCCTCCTGAGTCCTCCTGACCTGCTGACCTCCTGACCTGAGTCCTCCTGACCTCCTGACCTCCTGACCTGCTGACCTCCTGACCTGCTGACCTGCTGACCTCCTGACCTGAGTCCTCCTGACCTGCTGACCTGCTGACCTCCTGACCTGCTGACCTCCTGACCTGAGTCCTCCTGAGTCCTCCTGACCTCCTGACCTGCTGACCTCCTGACCTGCTGACCTCCTGACCTCCTGACCTGCAGGTTGAAGCACCAACAGGAGGAACGCTGTGGTTCTGTTAGCAGAGAAGATCCAGCTGAGTGGCAAATATTAACCCGGGCTGTCCTGGTTCTGATTCTGATCAGATAAATGATAAAAAGTAAATCGACACGAATCCTCCTTTTTTCTAAACTTTTCTAAAACTAAAGACTCTTGTCAGAAGTTAAAGTGCTGTAAGCTGAGTTTAATACCATCTAAAGACTAGTTCACTGTTATTTCTGAGTGTTTGTATTTATAATGATTCACGTCGGACACGAGGTGTTTATCATCAATATGTTCCTCATGAAGTTCTGATTATTAACCTTAATTTGTAAATAAAGTTAGTTCATTTGTTCTGTAAATAAAAACCTTTATTACAGAAGACTGGACTGTCTGGAGCTACAAATGATTGTATTTTTATTACTTTCATTCATTGGAGGGGTACAGTATTTATCTTTCATGAAAAAAGAACCTGTTTTTCCTCGTTAATTTAAGAAGTACAGTATGTACGGCCGGTGGGCGTCTCTTACAAGCTTAAGGTTCAAAATAAAGAAAATAAGATGCACATTTCTAATAAAGACGTGTTTAATTTAAAAGCTCTTACTGGTGTAATAAACGAACCGCTGCAGCCGGTTGTTCAGAACCATTAAAGTTTTCTTCTCTCCGCTGGTTGCAGACGTGTGCACGAGCTGTGCATGACAAACTGCTCCAATTCCAGGCGCGTGGCGAGGCCCGCCTGGTATTTGTCTCTGCTGCTGGAGCCATTCGGCCCTTCTTCCTGCTGCGCTGGATTGCTTTTAGCTGCTGCTCAGATTTGAATCGGCAGCAGGGCCTGTGACAGCGCAGGAAGAATCACCGTACACTCTTATATTAGGCCTCTTATCTGCTGCCGGGGGGTTGTTGATCAACTAAGGTCACTGTATCCTGACCACAGCACAACAGCTACAGCGTTATTTACAGATATGATAAATAAAAGCTGCAGCAACACTCTTATCAGCACAGAAAGCTTTCTGCTCCCTGTGCTCCTCAACACCAGGAGCAGAGTGGATCTGAGAGCTGCTGATGAAGCCAGGAGCTGCACGAATAAATCCTCTGCATGAATTAGAGCCTGGCAGCAGAAAGGTGTGTCTTTAGCCTACATGCAGGACGTCGGCCCCCCCCACAGATAACATGAGGCTGTTGGAAACACAGCCACATTATTCTAAGCAGCAGGTCCAGACAGCAGCGCTGCTCCCTGCAGATAATAGATGCACCTACATTATCCTGAAGTGGCGGGAAACTGAGGGGTTAGGAGGGCGAGCGGCAGAGATGCGCCTACATTATTAGAAAGTCAGATTGATAGTGACGGAGGGCGAGAGTAAAAATACACACATCTACATTACTGAGAGAGCCGGAGGGCAGGCTGCAGAGAAAAACACATGCAGAGGCATTACTCTGTAGTCAGAGGTGAAGCTGGAAAACTGTTCCTGCCATTATTCTCCTGTTACAGTGTGAGGGTTAGAAACATGCTAACACTGCTAACACCTCCTCTCCTGCAGCTCTGCTAACACCTCCTGCAGCTCTGCTAACACCTCCTACAGCTCTGCTAACACCTCCTGCAGCTCTGCTAACACCTGCAGCAGCTCTGCTAACACCTCCTGCAGCTCTGCTAACACTGCTAACACCTCCTGCAGCTCTGCTAACACCTCCTGCAGCTCTGCTAACACCTTCTACAGCTCTGCTAACACTGCTAACACCTCCTGCAGCTCTGCTAACACCTCCTGCAGCTCTGCTAACACTGCTAACACCTCCTGCAGCTCTGCTAACACCTGCTGCAGCTCTGCTAACACCTCCTACAGCTCTGCTAACACCTCCTACAGCTCTGCTAACACCTCCTGCAGCTTTGCTAACACCTCCTGCAGCTCTGCTAACACCTCATGCAGCTTTGCTAACACCTGCTGCAGCTCTGCTAATACCTGCTGCAGCTCTGCTAACACCTCCTGCAGCTCTGCTAACACCTCCTGCAGCTCTGCTAACACCTCCTACAGCTCTGCTAACACCTCCTGCAGCTTTGCTAACACCTGCTGCAGCTCTGCTAACACCTCCTGCAGCTCTGCTAACACCTCCTACAGCTCTGCTAACACTGCTAACACCTCCTCTCCTACAGCTTTGCTAACACCTGCTGCAGCTCTGCTAACACCTCTATGCTTTTATCTGATAAAAACAGAGGAGTCAGAGGGAGCTGAGGATGAGATACATTCTTTATTCAGTCATCAGCTCCGTCACATCAAAACATCAACATCTGCATCAACATCTGCATCATTTCACTTCAATCATCAAAACAAAAACAAAGATTAAAAAGTGTAGAAAAACAACAAAAAGACTTCAGTCTGATCAGCTTCAGTTCATCAACATAACTAATCAATCATTTCTGCAGAGTTTACACTGATCAACAACAACAAACAAACAAACAAACAAACAAACAAACAAACAAACAAACAAACATCACTTTGATACTGATTTAAGGACGGACCGGATCAGAACAATACTCAGAACCTCGGATCATCAGAACCTCTTTCAGCAGAAACCCTCAGCTCAGCTTCACTTCCTGTTTGAGAAACAACTGGACCCGTTAACAGAACCAGAACTGGACTCACTGCAGGTTTTGGATCCGTTAACAGAACCAGAACTGGACTCACTGCAGGTTTTGGATCCGTTAACAGAACCAGAACTGGACTCACTGCATGACGTTTGGACCCGTTAACAGAACCAGAACTGGACTCACTGCAGGTTTTGGACCCGTTAACAGAACCAGAACCAGACTCACTGCAGGTTTTGGACCCGTTAACAGAACCAGAACCAGACTCACTGCAGGTTTTGGACCCGTTAACAGAACCAGAACCGGACTAAAACAGAAAAAGTTGCCTTCACTTTCGATCATTCAGCAACAAAAACACAGGCTCTTATTATGAAAGGTCAAACAGGAAGGAGAAGGTTTTAATGGCTGAAACAGGAAGTCAGCTGTTCAGTTTGATGACTGAACGTTTATAAAATAAAACTCTGTTTGGTTTAAAAGAGATTAAAGAAGAAATCATTTATTTTATCAAAACTTAATCATCTGATCGACAGGATCAGTTTAAGATCAGCAGGGCAGTCAGAGGCTTTCCTCTGCTGCAGAGGATCATGGGTAATGTAGTCTTTAGAGCCTGATTATAAAAGACATTGTTTTTTCCTGACTATTTTCAGTTTGCTTGTGGTTTTGATGTTAAAGTGTTGGATCTGTGAATGTTCAGCTCAGTTGTTTACTCACCTGGACAGGTAGACAAACTGCACACTTTAACCATTTATCTAAAACTTGTCTTTTTTACAACCATTAAAGGCATCATTAGTTCAGACTGAGGGAAGTGAACGCAGCACAGAGTTTATCTGAGAAACTAAAGAATTATCAGGATTACAACCAAATAATGAGCTGATTTTCTGCCTCACTCCTTCGTGTCATGCTGATCTTAAACAGGAGAGGGAAAAGGAGGAGGAGAGGTGCATCATGGGTAGTGTAGTTTGATCTGGGCTGTTTATGAGATGGCCTTGGCTTCAGGTAAGAAGGCGTCCCAGTATTTAATGAGCTGCAGGAGGAAGAAGAATCAGGATGAAAATGATTTTTAAAAAGCTTACATGTGATTTTCTTGTTGAATATAACAGGTTTTACCTGCTGTTGTGTTTGAACCAGAGACTCCAGGTATTTAATAATGATGCATTTAAAATCCTTCACTCTCTCTCTCTGTTGGAAAAAAGCAAAGTGTTGGTGAGTTTACTCAGGTGAAGCAGGGGAGGCAGTAAAGCTGAGGGGCATGGTCGGTGGTCGGACCTCGAAGCGGCTGACTTCTTTCCTGATGGTTTTGGAGATTTGCTCAAAGTCTCTTTCACCTTGTTGGACTTTTCCCTCCAACTGAAACATGTCAAGAAAACAAGAACATATTCAACATTTCTTCACATTTGCCTTGAAATAAACAACAATAAAGTCCATCAGTCCATCCATTTTCTTCCTCTTATCCAGGGTCAGGTCTCGGGGGCAGCCGCCTKASKYSAGAGACCCAGACTTCCCTCTCTCCAGKCACTTGGACCAGCTCCTCTGGGGGAATCCCAAGGTGTTCCCAGACCAGCTGAGAGACATAGTCCCTCTAGCGTGTCCTGGGTCTTCCTCTGGGTCTCCTSCCAGTGGGACGTGTCCAGAACACCTCACCAGGGAGGAGTCCAGGAGGCATCCTAACCAGATGAACCACCTCAACTGGCTCCTCTGGACGTGGAGGAGCAGCGGCTCTACTCTGAGTCCCTCCTGGATGACTGAGCTTCTCAGCCTATCTCTAAGGGAGAGCCCAGACACCCTGCAGAGGAAACTCATTTCAGCTGCTTGGATCTGTGATCTCCTTCTTTCAGTCACTACCCAAAGCTCCTGACCATAGATGAGGGTAYGAACGTAGACCCACTGGTAAACTGAGAGCTTCACCTTCTGGCTCAGCTCTCTCTTCACCACGACAGACCGGTACAACGCCCACATCACTGCAGACACAGCACCAATCCATTCAATCTCCATTCTTCCCTCATTCATGAACAAGACCCTGAGATACTTAAACTCCTCCACTTGGGGCAGGACCTCCTCCCTGACCCGGAGAAGGCACAAGACCATGGTCTGGGATTTGGAGGCACTGATCCTCATTTTGGCTGCTTCACACTCAGCTGTGAACCGCTCCAGTGAGAGCTGGAGATCAGGATCTGATGAAGCCAGTAGGACCACATCATCCACAAAAAGCAGAGATGTGATCCTAAGGTCACCAAAAAGGATCCCCTCAACACCTTGGCTGCTCCTAGAAATTCTGTCCAGAAAAGTTATGAACAGAATCGGTGACAAAGGACAACCTTGGTGGAGTCCAACTCTCACCAGAAACGAGTCTGACTTACTACCAGCAACGTGGACCAAGCTCTGGTACCGGTCCTACAGGGACCTAACAGCCCGTATCAATGGGCCTGGTACCCCATGCTCCCGAAGTACCCTCCACAGGAGTCCCTGAAGGACACGGTCGAACGCCTTCTCCAAGTCCACAAAACACATGTAGACTGGTTGAACTCCCACGAACCCTCCAGGACCCTGCTGAGGGTGTAGAGCTGGTCCAGTGTTCCAGAACCAGGACCAGAACCACACTGCTCTTCCTGAATCTGAGATTCAACTATCCAACGGACCCTCCTCTCCAGGACCCCTGAATAGACCTTACCAGGGAGGCTCAGAAGTGTGATCCCCCTATAGTTGGAACACACTCTGTGGTCCCCCTTTTTAAATAGGGGGACCACCACCCCGGTCTGCCAATCCAGAGGAACTGCCCCCCGACGTCCACGCAATATTGTAGAGTCGGGTCAACCAATACAACCCCACAACATCCAGAGCCTTAAGGAACTCTGGGTGAATCTCATCCACCCCCGGCGCCCTGCCAACGAGGAGCTTTTCAACCAACTCAGTGACCTCGGCACCAGAGATTGGAGAGTCCGACCCAGGGTCCTCAGGCTCTGCTTCCTCATGGGAAGATGTGTCGGTGGGACTGAGGAGGTCTTCGAAGTATTCTGCCCACAATCCACAACATCCAGAGTTGAGGTCAGCAGCGCACCATCCCCACCATAAACTGTTGGTGGTGAACTGACAGGCACCAACAACCTTACGGCCACAGCTCAGGTAAGATGCATCGACAGTGGAAGCACGGAACATGGTCCACTCGGACTCAACCAGGTGCTTGCCCTTGGCCCCACCTCCAGGCCTGGCTCCGGAGGGGGGCCCCGGTGACCCGCGTCCGGGCGAGGGAACGCCAGATCCAATGGAAGAATTTATTTTTATTTTTATTTCCGGAGTGGGGCCCCAGTGACCTGCATCTGGGAGAGGGAACACCAAGTCCCTCTGTAGTACTCATCATAGAGGTCTTTGGACTGCATTTTGTCTGATCCCTCACCTAGGACCTGTTTGCCTTGGGTGACCCTTCGGGGGGCATGAAGCCCCTCAGAGCTCCTAGGATCATTGGGACACTCAAACCTTCCTCCACGATAAGGTGGCAGCCCAGGGAGACAACAATAAAGTCCACAACATACAGTGGTTTGCAAAAGTATTCATACCCCTTGAACTTTTCCATATTTTGTCACATTACAACCACAAACATAAATATATTTCACTGGAATTTAATG